CAGATACACAAAGAGATGCAGAGTACTTGTTTTATGTCTTTTTTCTTCCAATTTTTCTGTTCGCCCCATCGTTCGCTTGAAACCAGCGCAAAGCGGTGTTTGGGCAATGTTCCGAAAGGCCGCATGTTGGAAATAATGGTTGCCAGTTCTGCGGAAAGACGCGCATTTTGGTCAAAAACGCATTTGCACGAACGCGACAGCAAACTTTTGGACGAGCTGCTGGTTTTGCTCGTGGACCTATCTTTGAACTTTGGGTGGCTAAGGGGACGAATCGATGCCACAACCTGGAGACTTGCTCCAAGTTGTTGGTGAGTGTCTGAAGGTGTCGGATGGATTGGGATTCGAAGGATTGAAAGGCTTCTTGGTTGATCAATACCCATTTTGCTGACTTTTTCTGGGGATCTCTGTTTTCCCATACGCCAGGTTGATTTGTCCGGGCCAAGTTGCGCGAACCTCCCTGACCCATTCGGGAACCAGAAAGGGACCACAGCAGGTTTCGATCTTTCATGCAGGTCTTTTGCAAGTTGGTCAGAACACGATAGCTGACTCACGCAAAAACGCTACCCCGTGCAAACCACGACAAACAACTTGGAACGCGATGGGAGATGACACTGACGCTTCAAGCCTGCAGTTTATGATAATGATGCCGCGGCGGTCAAACACAATTGCCCCTGTTGAATACACGTTAAACCGCAGAATGAATTTGCCCGTGGACCGCGAAACAAACATTGCCCCCAATGTCCAGAGTTCATCCAAGTGGTGCCTGGCATGGATTCGTGCACTAGAAAATGCCATGGATGCTACAGCCAACCTCATGCTAGGGGTGCGTGCTACCATAGGTGTTCCTTTTGAGGTTAGGTGCTACCATAGGGATGTTACCACAAGTTTTGAAAAGAATAACCATCCATGCTAGGGGTGCTACAATAGGACACCATAGGTGTCCCTTTGATCGGTTAGTTTGGTTAATTAGAAACCGATGGCACAGGCGTGGATGGGTTTCATTCCATTTACCAGGGAAACTTTGTCTATGTTCCCGAAAAGGACACCTACCTTGGATGGACAAAATTGTGCACCACTTGGAAACATTGGGAAACCTTTGTTTGTTGGTATTTACAGGGGAATCGAATCATTCCTGGTTTTGTTTTGGGTGGTGCGAAATGGATTTTGTCCAGCCACAGTATGGGTGGAGCCCGCAGTGCACCGGACATTCTCCGAGTCGCCAGGCCTACAAGTCGCTTCAGAAGCGCCTCACGCGGAGCGCCAACACCCAGCACCGAGCCCTGCGCGAGGCGCGAGGCGCTGCCTTGCGGGGTCCTTCCCTCCTTACGTTCAAGGGTGTTATCAGATACTCAGTTGTTCAGTGGTACCCTTTTTCTTTTTTTTGGTGGCTGCCCCACTAAAAATCGTCTTCCCGAAGAAGGATTCACTTTTTTTCTAGGGTCACTGAACAACTGAGCATACCCAGTTGCTCAGTGGGTTCCGCCCTTTTTTCAACTTTCTTTGGGGAAGGGGCCGACTCCTTTAAACTCAACCAACCAAAGGAGGGTGCCGATTCTTTTTCTCCCGTGGAAATCCGCTGCGAATCTAAGAATATGGGTTTGGGTGTTATCAGGACCAGGGAACCAGGAATTTCTAATAGAAATTGGCCGAGCAACTATCAAACACAAGTGTTTCCTGTAGACATTTCTCTGGAGATGATAGCAAAAAGAAAGTCTTAACCAAATGTTTACTGCAAGCTTCTGCGATTGTCGGTGGGGCAAAGGTTGCTGATCCAAGGATCTCTGGGTGCCGCTAACTGTGCAAGACCAGTTGAAAGTCAAAGCAGGCTTGGCAGGCTTGCTCATACAAAGGTCAGACAACGCTGATTGGGAGGTCTGAACTGGTGGTTTGGGGATTTGAACCCCTGGTTCTTGTAGAGGGTTCATGGGAAACGGGCCAATCTGCACCAATCCAAACCACATGCACAGCCACTAGGAAGCTGGAACCGGGGGGTTTGGGGAGTGGAATTTCACCTGTTCGGGCCTGACCTGTGCTTCGCCAGTATGGCACCTGTGGGGAGGTACCTGGAAGATTAATTTCAGTTTCAAGGGACCCCATGTCAGATGCCATGATAGTGGGAGGGAGGGTATGGGTTTTGGATGGAGGTTATATACCACTCAAGAGCTTGTTTTTATTCTCTGCCTTACGAGCTTCTGATATATAGAGAAAAGAGCAACTCCCGTACTTGAAAACACCCTTGACACATGGCACCTGGAAAAGGAGCCCCTTCAAAAGGATTGCTATTTTCCAGGGCATGGGTGCTATGTCAGTGGGAAAAAGGGTGTGTGTCAAAGAGCTTCGGACTTGATTTCGGCGTTCTTTTTGGTTTGGCCTTAAACCAGTAAAAAGATGGGTATCCTCAAGAAGAAACACCAAGCACCTGGGGTTGCTTGCAAGGCACAGGGCTTGATCCAAAGAATGCAAGCACAAAGGTCAGCGTGAGGTGACATCTTTTCATCTTTTCCCTTTGCTTAATTGGTTGTTGAATAATAATTTGTAATCCTAGACGGTAGAAGCTGCCTTGGCTTTCTTTACTTTCTCCTTACCAAAACAACTCTGGGTCATTGGCGGAACCGGTGGATTTGGTTGTTCCCCTTGGGTCCCAAGCATATGTATGCGGCCCCTTTTAAAGCTGGTTTCCTCGTGTACCAGAATAGAGACGACAGTTTGTTTCGGTGAAAAGAGTCGCAACATGTAAACAGCGCCCACGGATTCGAATCCCTGGCAGAAAGCAATTCTACGCTGAAGGGGTGAGGCCTATGTCTTGCCATGTTACGAAGACGCCAACTCCGCGCTCACCTAGCACGGTCCCTCAAAGTTCCTCAAAAACGCATCTCCATTCAAAGTTCAGAAAAAAAAAACCAAAGAAAAGCCATGGGACAAAAATGCTGGTTTGTGAAAGCGAAGGGTGACAAGGCATCAATCTTCAAACTTTTGAGTCTTTCGAGCTATCATGAACTAGAGTATATAAAGGTGTATGGGGGGGGGGGTACACCAAAAAGGAAAGCCGTTTTTCTGTTATTTGTTGGTGGGTACACCTATTCTTATACGTGCTTGTTTGACGGCGTTCATGGTAGTTTGCACTGAAGCCTGTGCAATGAAAAAGGATCCCCTTAACATGAGTCACTCTCAAAACCCCCCAACGAAATAAAAACTAAAAGCGAGGCCTAGTCCTACTTGGGACTGTCCCCTGCATCCCTTTCTTGCACTTTTATGTACAATTTTGGGGCACTGTTCAAGGAATCAGTTGGATTTGCCACAAGGCAAACCATCCAAAGCAAACCACCCTTAGGTGGGTGTGACACCGTTTTTCGGGTTCACCCCCAAAATGCTGGGCGGTTCCCAGTTGTCCCCTTAGTGTTTTGTTTTTGTGTGTTTTTAAGGCTTCAGTGGGGTTTCTTCTTAACCCACAAGTTTAGCTGGTAGCCTCTGAGGACAGCCAAGCAATGACTACTTGAGTTAGTGGCAACCTGGGTTGTAACCGTAGCCCACCCACAGGGTGAAGCCCGTTGAGGGGGACTTGCTTACCGTGGGTTGGGGTAATGGAAACACCCTGGTTTTAGTGGGGATTCAGACCACTTTTGGAGGGTCCCCCATGAACGGGCCCCCACCCCATGAACAAGGAGGGGTTGATTAATAGGGGGTCAACATTACCAACAGATCCGCAACTGCAGGCCATGGAGATCGGCTCCCAAGAGCTTTGCCTCGATGCGCCCCTGGAAGGCGCGCCCAAGGCGCGGCAGAAAATGAAATGGGTGGCCGGGTGTGAGGAAACGGGACTTTAGCTTTTTGTTCGGACTTGGGTTTATGGTTGCAAACCACATAAACCACTCTGGTTGCCAAAACGTGTTTTTTTTGTTAGGAAAGCATTTTGCAAAGGGATGTTAGGACTTCAACGTTTTGGAATGGGTTTTCTATTAACCCACTAGAAGTAACACTTTTGCAGGGGAGCAGAAAGCAACCGAGGTTTGCTGTGGGTCAAAACCAATGGGATCCCATTTTGGGGTTTTCGCTGCACCACCCATTTTAGAACCTATTTTAGTGGTTGGATCGAATTGGATGTTCACTGGGGGTACGGGGTTTGGAGCCGTTGCCGGGTCCGGTGGTTTGAACTTGGTGCCAAAATTAGGTACCCCCCAAGAAACAAGCAAGCAAAGCAGGGAGTATATGATTTTCCTTGATTTTTTGCCGGAAAATGGGTTCCCTCCAGCAACGCACCCACTTGTCGCTTTTGGTGCTCCCTTCAAACTCAACCAAAAGATGGCCGCCTTTTTCTTTACAAACATTGCTTAAACTGAACTCACCTTTTTCAGGTTTTTGCTCTTTGGGTGGTCCTGGTTCCTTCTCAGCTAGAAAGTGGACTTGGGTCTGCGTTTTGGCCGCGTCATGGGTTTGTTTTAGCCAAGCCCATGCAACAGGTGGAATCCCGTTTGCGGGGTTCCTAAGGATACATCCACTGAACACCGGATCGGCCTCGAACCGGCCCAAATGGGAGTGTCTTTTCTGATGCCCTAAACCCAAGAGGAACAAAACACCCTCAAATGTATTCTTGAACAAGCAAATTGGCTTTGGGATGCTTTGAGCATCGCCCTTTGTTTCACAGCGAATTTCCTTGTGTTCTGCAAAGAGACGTCGATGAGTGCCATGATCAAAAGAGCTGCTTCCTTGCCAGGGAAGGTGATGCGCCCGTTTATGGGCAACTACGGCAAGGATTCCTGCAAAGGGCACCACGAGGTTTGCATCTGGGCGGGTTTCCCTGGGAAGACACCCTCAATGGGCGGTGCTTAGGACGGTCAGGACGAGGGCGCGGAGGATGGTAGCCATGTCTTCGGTCATTTGGGTCTCGTCATACCCTTTTTGCTTGATTTCAAAGGGAAACGAAAAGACACCAATGGGGGCTCTCCCACAAAAGACTCATCCGTTCTGTGAAAGCCTGGACGTGACCTGCGAATTCATGACCG